TTTTTTTCCTACATTCGAGCCCAATAATTAGATTATTATCAAATTATTACCCGTATTTTATTGCAATCAATTATCTCWGGACCCAATTTGAGTTTGCCCCGTTTTAATTTAGAGCGCAAGCGAATAGCTAAGAGAAAAAAATCGTAAGTACAATTAAACATTAAATAATTATCGATTTCAGAAATTTAATCAGCACATTCAACTAACACATTCATTATTATTTATTAACAATATAAGGTTGTTGAACAATGGGCGAGTTAGTGAAAATAATTGACTGCAGTAAAAAATTAAGTTAAATCAGTAAATTACCTCCTGTTAAAAGTTAACAGAGAAAAAATTTAATTCGATAATTTTAAAGTTAAATAGGAAAATACAATTATTTTCAAGCTACGATATTTTTAGGCAATACCTAATGAATAAAGTGCTCTAGTATTTTGATTTACACAAACATTTATCATCAAGACGTTTAATACTACAAATATCAGGTGTAATAATATATAATTAGAAAACATATTAACAAGATGATACGAATAAAAAATTAACTTAACTACACGATAATGATGAACTTTTTAACAAGTTAATGMMTACCTACCTTTGATTATTAAGTGATTTAGTGATAATCAGTATATACRTATATAGTACAGTATATGTATAATATTGTGTATACCGTACGGTTATAAAAATATGTTATCCAATGTTTAGCCATTAAATTTATGTAATATTAACTTTTATAAGTACACATACATAGTGCAATTAACTTAAACATTTCTTACCTATTCGTTTTTTTTTTTGTCTGACCCTATACCTATAATTCGGTATTTTATTGAAAATTAGTAGGTAAATATATATTTGACTATATCTAAAATTTTAAGCAATACCTACATTAATTTGGTGATTAGTTAATATTGATTACAATAAAAAAAACTAATTCTTGCAGTCAGATTTCTACATTACATTATTTTAATTGCATTATAATGTGAGATCAAAGTATCAAACATCAAAACCAATGAGCTTGACTTGATAGTAAAGACARTAATGTCACGGTCTTATATAGTGGATCGACGAATTTCTTGGTCTTGAATGTCTTGATAGTTATGCTGCATAACTTATGCATAGTAATTTATCAAACATTATGTTAAGCTAATATATAAATATATGCACTATATAGATATATTACATATTTAAATAATAAAACATTAGGTATAATTTATATTGAATATTTCGAGGAATAATCGAGTGTCTTTATAATCTGTTAGCGTATACTGTATAGTAATGCACAAATATTAGGTATGATAAATGATTGTAATAATTTGTTGTTTAAAGTTATTTTCGTCTTTTAATCTTGACGG